CACCATCTTAACTCGCTAGCATCCACCACCGCGGCAAAATTGAGCCCCTGCGGCCAATCATCGATGTTCTTTTCGACTCGACGACCAATTCAGGTAGGTATACAGTGCAAATGGTTTCTTATTACTATACGAAGACGAATAGGATGTCCTAATATCCTCAGTAGGAACCCACAGTCCACAGCGTGCTTGCATTCGTTGGCCCGACCTGCCCACCCGCCAAAAACCCACTGCAGCAATTTTCACTTTTCCCACTCCTCCTGCAGACCAGGCACAAGTATCTTTCCCTTTCATCCACCACACTCAACTTTTTTGTCCATCTTCTCTTTCTTCCTCCCCTCCTTATCTCCCCCTATCGCATCTCGCCCTTCCTTTATTCTCTCTCTCTATCCTGTTGGTTCCTAATCCTCCTCGAGGTTTCCCATTTTTTGTGTTCGCGCGCAATCCAATTACTATCCGTCGTAGGCTTGTCCTTCGTCGTTGCGTCAAGAGGAGAGACAGTTCCTACATCGCGTTATCTCGAGAAGACGACAATTTGCCACCATCATCGCCAGCTTAGTATTTTTTTTTCACAGGATTAAGGGAAAAGAAAAGGACGAAAATTAAAAAAAGAAAGATAGAAGAGCCGGAAGACCCGATCGATTTATTCGACTCCTTAATCATTGTACAAATTACCGAAGTTTTTTTTCTCGCCGTTTTCGATTCGCATCGCCTTTACCGTATACCTTATACTTGACTGATCATAATATCGTCCTTCCCAACTACGTCAACCCGATAGCAAGAAACTGTGAACGGCACACGTTTAGGAGAAGTAAAAGTCGCCCGCAAGGTTAAGATTGCTTAGAGTGGTTGCATTAGACATCCCCTCAGTTCTTTCGTCGAGAGTCCCTAGAAACAAGGAACTCTTTCCCGCCCCAAGGTACTTCCGCAAAGATCAACGCCCAAGAACAAAGCCCCGAGTGCTACAAATCGACACTGTCAACCTTCAGGATTAGGATTCGGCCCGCCAGCATTACGCCGCTCTCGGACGAGTCAAGCCAACAAAGAAAGCCTCAGCCTTAGGCAGCCTTTTCTACCTTGTCCCTGCGTGATTTCGAGGCCGTAATTCCTCTATCCCGTCCTTTGCACCGACTTCTGTTCATTGCCTTGTCTCTGACCCGGATCAATTGGGAAACCTCATTCGGACTATCTGCAACCTTTCTCCTTCTTGGCTCAACTACGCAGCTTCCTGTCATTAGCATCGTCTGTCGCTCATTCGGACACGACCACGGATTAGTTTAATAATTATTCTCCAAAGAGACAAAAATAACTCCACGACAGCCGCATCTACTTGTATCCATCTTCTGCTTCTTGTCTACAGTTTTCCATCACCAGCGTCAGCACAATTGTCTTGGTTTTGTTGGATTCTGCTCGGCGAGCCGCGTTTGATACGACATCCTTCCCAATTGCTACATCATTAGCCATTGCGCCGATTGTCTGGCTACACACCACGCAATCACAATCGACATTATCGACAATTCCGCATCGCATTAATCAGCCCTGTCTGGATCACATTTATTCCCATCAATCTACTTTGTTGTAATATTATTTTGGACGCCCTGTTATTCCGGAGGCGATCATCCATTCCTTATTAGATTTCGCTTCTAATTACTCTCGCCGTCGCTTGGATTCAGATCTTGCATCTCGACTCCCTAAAACAGCTATTCCGTTGATAGATCATAGCGTTGTTTATAATTTGAGTATGGACACCGGCGGTCTTGCTCAAATGTCACACAACGGTTTTACTTCGCCAACCGGTTTGGGCATGCCCACCGGAGGGCTTGCTTCACGCCGCGGTGGCGGCCAGAATATTAAACCTTTATCTTTCGAGTCTATGAAGACTTCTACTGATCCCAAGGACAACGGAGTTCCCACTCCGCGAACCAGCCGATCTCACCTGCTTGCGGGTCTTAGGACGGCTCCAAAGTCGGCTACCGCAACTTCTTTTGCCGCTTCGCCAACTTCCACCGTTCCGCCTGCCCGTGTACATGGCAGGGATGGCGCCGGAAACATGTATGGTAGTCAGGACGGCATGTATGGTGGACCTAAGACGTCACTCCCCCGTCTTGCGACCCAGCAGCAGAGCTACAACCCGATGATGAGCTCTAGTCAGCAGCATTATACTGCCGAGCAGATCCTGGCACCTCCTGAGCTTCATCTTGATGAGCAAGTCCAAGACCAAATGGACCCTTCGCTCTACGCTCAGCTAGTAGCGACCAATATGTACCTAGCTCAGCAGCAGCAGCGATTGCAGCAACAGTTGCTTAGTGTCCAGGCTGCAGCTCAGCAGTTTCAGGCAATGAGCCTCAGCGGACAGTCAGTGTTGCAGCAGCAGATGGCACTGCAGAATTTGTACCAACAACAGCAGCAGCTTAAGAACTTGCAGCAGTCGATGGCTAACCCCATGCAAATTCAGCAGAGCCTCTTCCCCTATTATGACGCCACCGGCCAGCAAATGTTCTACGTTAATCAGAACGCCACTCAGATAAGGAACGTCGGCAATTACGTGGACCGCACTCCTGGTACTCCTCAGGGTTATGGCCACTCGCAGGCAAACAACGGCACGCCCCGTGTTCAAGTTTCGCCGCCTCCCATGGAGAGCGCCCCGCCTGTCTACCGAACTACCTCGCCCCCGAAAAAGGTAGAAATAATCGCGGAACCTACACCTCTACCACCTCCATCTGCCAATGCCTTCCGTCGAGGCCATAAGAAGTCATCCTCCCTCGCGAATGGAAATAAGGGTCTGTCACTGTCGATGGATGATAGCCCCAAGTCGGCTGGCCCCAAGACGGCCTCCTTCCCGCTTACTCCCATGACTAATGGTGGTTATGGCCCTGGCCAAGGTCGTGCTGGCGAGCACCCTATCCGTCAGCCTCGCGGTCCTCCCGCACTTGATGAGCTTAAAGCGAAGCCTACCGCCAAGCATGAGGGCAGCAAGAACTTCGCTCAGCGAACTCGCCGCTCTGCTGTCCACAATCTCGTGAAGGCCGGGATGGTTAGGCGCAAGGGTACGGGTAGTAGCTGCGGAAGCATGAGCCCCGTATCCGAGAGCGCAGAGGAAGTTTGCACGCCATTGACTGACAACGAGTCCGACTCTGGGCGTAGTGGCTCGGGCAGCCTCTCAGGCGATGCAGAGCCTAGTCTTGCTAGTTCCAGGACTTCCACAAGTGGCAGCTGGGGAGCTATTGGCTCCGACCGCCCTGGCTCGCGCCAGAAGTCGCGGAAGAGTGTTGATAGCCTCTCCAGTGGTGGTGATAGCGAGGGTAGCTTTGCGAGTGTGTTCAAAAATGGTTCTCAGCGCTCTAGTAAGACCGAGTCGATCGACGGTCAGCGAAAAGCGCCTATGCTCGTACTCACCAGCGCCGAGAAGCGCAAGGGTAGTGTTGTCGTAGCTTAGGGTGCAGCCGGCCTCAAATTTTCACGCAATAACGATCGCATGCTCCCAACGTCTTTGTCTTTTCATGAATGTCGCGACGGAGTGGTAGAGCCCTCCAAGCAGAGATTACGCACGAATGGACGGGACTAGGTTGGAGAACAGAATGGCCATTTCCTTTCGCGATTTGATTTTGGAGGGCGCTGGTAAACTGGGTTAAGGGATGGCAGCATTCTGAGCTGTTGATTTCTATTTGCAATACCGAGGATCCCTTGGCTGGCATCCAGTAGTACACTTCTTCGAGGGGGCAGAGCGGCTTGGAGAGAAACCCTTGTTAGTGGGATTCTTTTGCTGTTTATACTTCATGTCATTCTCTCACACGAACCACACGTTTATTCGCTTCTAAATACGTTGAGTTTGGAGGGGGGACCTCACGGAGGGAACATCTCACTTACGATTCTTGTGGATGCTTATTCCCTAGAAAGTTGTGTAGGCTGGAGCTTAGCTTTGTGGTCGGGACACCTATCGATAGACTCATGCCTGACTCTAGATAGTGATCAATGGCTCAATTATAATTATATGCCAAGCCTATTTGTTCGGTATCGTTTCTGACGTCTTACCTAGCTACGTAATACTTTATAGATCCTGAATATAACCCCTTTCCCTATACTGACTAATAGTTCCACCTGCTCAGATGACCTTATGATTTACATGTTCTGTCTGGGTTAAAGTGAGATAGCCAATTGGCCACTACCTTGACGTTCGATATCTCTAATCTCATATTGAATAGTAGTATCCTGTATCCTGTTATTAGTACCCAGAATCCTCTATATGTTTAGCACCTGAGAGTATCTTTACTTTCCCCAAGCCCGCTATTCGCTGGGATAGTACGATTCAGCCATTACTACATAAGAGGATAGGTGGCTCTCTCATTAGACGAGGTATTCTCGAATTACTAAGGAGGGCTCCAGTTCCCCTAGGGATAACGGCATAGTAGACGGCCAAGGAGTATGTCTAGAGCTAAGACTCTAAGTAATAAAACCCGAACCGTAGAGGCACGCGAGTGTAGAAAAATAGGACTACGTTGATGGTTTAATTTTACCTTATGGGGGAAATGGCGGAACGCTGCGCCCTAACTGAGCCAGCTAATAGTGAGGATAGGAGCCCAGTGGTCCCTGCTTTATATGACGTCGGTAATGTCGTGTTCTTAAGAGTTGTTTTAGCAACAATCTTGAGAGGTAGGATTTAAGTGTCCGATAGATAGGTACCCATCCGTTTTCAAGCATCATGTTATTGATCGTGGACTTCAGTCTAGGTTTCTAGTATTTGTTTATTTAGATAGGTACCTAGATGCTAACACGATACTGGCGGTTTTGAGATGCAGCTGGTATGAACCCCTTGGACATACCTAAGTACTAGGGTACCTAGACAATGTCTATAGTGTTATATCATCCAATGTTGATTGACTTGCTGTAAACTCCTGCTTGCATTACAAGAGGATTGATAACCACAAATCTTTGATTTGTAGAATTTACCCTTATTTTGTGTCTTACAAAGTCCCTTGACTGCTAAGCTGCGGTTCTTCCTGCTTCTACTTCCCTTCATTCTGTGTATTGGCTTCTAGGTCCTCTGATTTTATTCTGATCCGCCGCCCGCGATGGATCAAGAAGGCAACCAAGGCTAGTAGAAGAAAAATCCCACCAAGGGTTGAACCTATACTAACCCCTGTGGTGGCACTGGATGCTAATCCATCATCACCCTGGTTTACGGTAGAATTTTTGCTACTGGTATCTCTAGGGGTGTTATTCTGCCGACCATATTGTTAGGCGAAGGTAGTAAGAAGAGTTTGAAAACAGATCATTACCTGTAGAAAACCGCCAGGGAGTGGTAGCTTTGGCGATTCATCCGTACATCGGCCATCGTTAATGTACAAGATGTAATCACCCGGGGTAAGATCGATTCTGGGGGTCAACATAAATGTATTGTTGCCTGTATAGCCTATATTTCTGTGAGTATCTATAAACCTTTACAACTGCTGGGAGAAGCTCTGATACTTTTAGCGATCTCATTAGTCCTCATGAGTCCCCCAGTTGTAAACTTGGCTAGGTCGATATTGACCAAGCCGACAGTGCCTGTCCACGTGAGAATCAATGTCTTTCCATACTCGAAATCCCATTTATGTGTCGTGAAGCGGACTCCATCCCGGCATTCCATCACCGGTGTTGACAAGGCAAATGATTTTCTGAATAGCATTACTATTGGCTTACGCCAGGTGTATTTCACTGGTATATGAAACGGAGAGGGAAAAATGATAGAAGTAAGATATTCCACCAGGGGCCCGTCTGTCAAGCTGTATATTGAATGGCATATTTTCCTAGGACCTGCTTACCTCTGTAGTGTATGACAGTGCTTCATCCCGTGTTATGGTGTTTGTATGACGTTTACGTTGCACACGTGTTACGGACGGAAGCGGGCAGCCTTATCCAGGAGGTTTGGTGTCACTTCCCAAGAGATCACAAGGTGATTTAAAATCTTAATGGAAATGGGCATTGTTGCTGGTACTTGGACGTTTGCACCGATGGTAACTGAAGGTTTTTAATTATCGAAGTCTCACGAGAGTCCTCTTTAGCCCCTTCATCTATGTTGTTATCCTAGAACTCGATATATGTAGTATAATCAGGAAGTGTGGCTATCATAGCGTCGAGTTTCAAGAACTCAATAACTTTTGTATTCTGCATATCTTAATAGGCACTTGGTCGCTGTAAAATGGACCTCGCTGGTCGTGTCTGCATGGAAGCTTAAAGTCAACCTCTTCGACGTTGAAATATCTCCTTTGGCAGACATCAAGGAAGGCTTTGAACGTGTCTTGGTTCCTTTCGGTAGCGGCAATGAGAATTATAACACGTGGAAACATTCCCGTCAATTCTTCTAATGTTCCAACGAGAGCCGGGATGACGCCCTTGTCATAGGCTATATCCGCGCCAAGGACCACATCAATCGGCATGCCGCCGTTCCAGTATTGGTCTTCTGTTCCCACAAGAGCATGGCCCCATTTAATATCCATAGCCCGGATTTGCTTTGAGTCTTGGAGGCCGTTTAAAAAGAAGTTCTCGGGAAGGGTTGCCACAACCTCATCAGAGCCATCTGAGGCAATAGTTAAAGTAGAAGTAAGAAATCTAGCACACAGTACGGATAGGTATCCGGTCCCTGATCCTAACTCTAAAACTCGCTTCCCCCGAATAAGCGACGGGTTTGCGCAGAGAAATTGCCCTAAGTGAAGGGAAGCTTCCCAAGTACGCAAGCCGGTGGTCCCCGAGGCAGAGATGAGATTGCGCGACTCGAGTAGTGTGATCTGAGGTGGAATTTGGGTAACATTATCACGACTATCAAGTAGAGATAGATTGTACGTCACATATGATTTCTGCTGAGCAGCAGTGGTTTCGGAGGGTAATGGGTGTGCTAGAAGACAAGAGAGCGTATTCATCAAGTCGTCTGAAACCCCCTGGGAGATTGGGTTATCAGCCATGGCTATATGGCAAGAGATATGGACTATAGAGGGTATATATAATAGGTACAATAGAATAAATAAATGATATATGGTTTTCCTTACGTGACGATCCCAGTCCTCAATACTCGCTTCGATCCTCGACGTGAGCTCCTTAAGGACTCGTAGCTGGTACCTCCGAGGAGGGGCATAAGCAAGAGCGTCATCGGCAAAGATGCGGCGGTATATAGTGTCTTGAATATCTGCGTCTTGCAGGAGTGCAGGTGGAGGATAGTCAAGATCTTTTTCTAATTGAACGTACTGAGAACAGAAGCGGTTGATGGTATCAGCTTTCAGCTCGTGTTTTTTTGCTGGCATGTTGAAAGAGCCGACAGATTTTTAGTTCTTTGAATAGGGGTCAAATGTTTTACCTAGCCTCCATAGAGTTGAAGTTGGTGATGCGGCGATGCTACGATGCTGGAAATACATTATATGTACCTCGGTACCATACACCGTGTGGCTGAAATGGGAGGTATGGCTGTGCGAGAATTACCTAGGTACTTAGGTACCTACCTAATGGGTCAAAAATACTTTGGTACCTCAAATACCTACATACATGTACCTACCTAATCTTATCAGCCTCGAGATGGCTAATTTTTTAGGGTTTTAACCTCGCGTATGGGTCTTGCCCTGTGCACACTTAAAGCAAAAAAGAAAGCAGAAAGCAGAAAGCGCGGGTCGGGAATATATTCGGACCGGGTCTTAGCCCCAATCACACACAATCAACAATCCAACAATCCAACAATCCACCCACTTTCGGCTAACGAATTTTTGTGAAGGCCTTTCCACCCTGCACACCTCAATTTGAATACTAATCCAGTAGCAACATCAACGCCAACCTTCCCCTTTGGACAGATCGTTTCTTTGACTCTTCCCTTCGATCTGTCATTAGATCGTGAAGATGGCTGACTCCGAGACCCCCGTCACGTTGCGAACTCGCAAGTTCATCCGCAACCCTCTCCTCGGTCGCAAGCAGATGGTCGTGTACGTTGCATCCCGCTTCGATAATAATAAATAAATAAATAATACCGTCTATTGTCTATTCGATGGAAATAGCACGATCGAGGATGAGAGAACTAGTCAAACACGACCGAAACTAACAGAAGCTTTCTCATAGTGACATCCTGCACCCCGGCCGAGCCAACATCTCCAAGGACCAGCTCCGAGACAAGCTATCCACCATGTATAAGGCACAGAAGGACCAGATCTCCGTCTTTGGTCTGCGAACACAATTCGGTGGCGGAAAGACCACTGGATTCGCTCTAGTCTACGATTCCCCCGAGGCTATGAAGAAGTTTGAGCCCCAGTACCGGCTGGTTCGTGTCGGCCTGGCCACTAAGGCTGAGAGAGCGTCAAGACAGCAACGTACGTTTATATATCTGGAGGGCCGATGGAATGAATATACTCGATATTGATAGAAATGCTAACAACTATACAGGCAAGCAACGCAAGAACCGACAGAAGACCCTACGGGGTACCGCCAAGGTCAAGGGCGCCAAGGCGAAGAAGGAGAAATAGACGATGGGCTTCTAGGTGTTCTGGTCTGGTCTTTGCGGGGTGGGATTTGGCTCGGCTTCGGCACTGGCTCTGTGCATTATACGCGAAAATGCATCTCTGCATCCTACATACTAGTTCTCGACGCGGTACTAGTGAACTTTCCTCGAGGCGTGACGGAATGAATTTGATGATTTCCCCCACGATAGCATAAATCAAGGAGTTGTCATGGCAATACCCCCGTTTCTAGCTCATGTTTCTTGTTCATACGTGACATATTCGCACGGGATCGCACGGGATCCGTTGATGGTCATTTGGTAATAATGTCTCTTTACTATCACGGTAACTACTAACTCTATATCGATTCCCGAACGCCTCTGTTTTCCTAGGTATCTAATAATCGCAAAGCGTTCCAGGCTTATCATGATGATACTTCGTAAGTCATTAGGTTAAGAGGTATCTCTGCCCATACCCAAAAGGAAAAAAAAAACATGAAAGGGGCTTCACTTAGATATCAAAGCCCGAGTATCAATCCGCCAGCGACGATACCAGCGACAACGCCAGCACGTAAAGCTACCTGCCCACTACCTTCGCATCGAATCCCGCTCGCTCCGGCGTCTAATATAGGTTCATGCCAGCCGCAGTGCGTTTCTAAAGGAAATGTTACGCAGCTGTAGTATGTAGTCTGTACATACTTGACGCCTATTTCGTGGAAATTAGCCCCTGGTGGGGGTAACTCGGGCGAGGGCGTAATCTCAGGGTCGATTGCGGTCTGAGTTGAAATAGATGTGGACGTAGGCGCAGCGAGTAGTAAAGTAGTACACCTGCTCGTAGCAGCGCCAGCGCTTGTCAGCCGCGGTGTAGGACTTGACGTATTAAGCTGGGCCGAGGGTGTGCTACTTGGTACTATTGTCGTAACTGATGGCATTGTCGCCAACGTTGTCGTTGTCGAAGGCGAACCGAGGCTTGAAGGTATAGCGGTTCGCGGTGTTTTCCGGCTAGCCTCCGCGAAGCTCAGCAGGGCTATTAGAGTAACGATTGCCAGCATCTTGATAAATATGAATCTTCAGAACCGTCTATGCTCCTGCTAAGAGATTCTTGTTTCCACTAATAATAATAAGGGCTTAGTTTCAAAGGGCTTAGTTTCAAGGAATGGGATAGGTGAGATGGATTATATGCGCAGGATGAGAACAATACGCAAGGCTTGAGACCAGCTCAGTGTGTGAATAAAATGCACCTATAAACTAAAAGGTAGAATTAAGAAGAATGAAGAATGAAGAATGCCTATGTAAGAATTCGCTGCAGATCTAAGCAGTTGTTGTAGATATATAAACAAAGAAAGAAAGAACTGCAACGGATTGAATGAAACTAAATGCAGTCCATACTGCCTCGAACTTCTAGAATCATTAACTCGTACATCTACCCGTCATGCCCACCTCCATAATGCAAGTTTAACATGTTGGTGTTAGTCAGAGGCACGCATGCACGTTGACGAAAAATGGCAATGCAGTTAGGTCTGGTAGCTAGCTATTGGACGATGTGTCACTTCAGATCAGATCAAGCCTAAAGGGGATCACTCCGTTTATCCTGCATGTTTTGGAGAAGTTATTTGGCTATCTATCATCTGTAAGAAATAACTTTCCTCCTTGGCAGGGCAGAGAAAAGCTTACAGATGGCGAACACAGCACATCCTTCATCCTCGCGTGTTAGAGGCTGATGGACAAGCCTACAAACGGCTGGCTACTTGGCCATGACGAAGGAAGACCCCCTGACAGGTGGGGGCTTGTCACGGATGTGAACTGCATTGGATGGGATAAAGAGATATGATTGGCGCGTTGTGTTATTGTATATGCAGGGTCAAATAATACCCTTACCTTTCCCCTCCTTCGATAGAAATGCACCCTATTTCTATAAGTGATATCTTAGATCTATAAGCCCTGCATACCTATGTAGCTAACGATTTGGGATCATATCCTTGCCGTCCAACTCATTGGGTCCGACCTTTTTCAGCTCAGGGCTAGCTGTTACTTGGCGGGCTACTGAGTCGTCAGAAAGACACCAGACTATGGGGATCAGTTCAACCTGAATCGCCAAATTCATCCCTTACCCACCTGATGGGTTGGGTGTTATCATGGCCAAGAAGCGTTTCAAGTCTAACAATTTGAGTCATAGATCTGATTGTATGGTGTTGCGACTTACACCTAGTAAGCATGTATCATGACCCTGACAAGTCGAGGTTCAAATCATAAGCATCCGTCTCTTCAGCGGTAATATATTCTTCCAGTATGAGTACATTCTAAAAAGGCAGGGTATACAAAAGGGAATGGTCGTCAGAAGCTTAGGTATTAACTAGTTCAATAATATGTTTGATTATACGATGCCATTTAATCGTCCAAGTAAACATCAAGACAAAATCCGAATTCAACCCGCATACCCCATTCGTAGACTAACTACGAAATCATATAAAAGTTGAATTCCTGAAGAACCAATAACTCCAGATCGTGCCCCATCCGACCAGCCTGGACTCCTAATCTTAATCAATCAATCTAACAAGGCTCGCTCTTCTCAACCCCGATACTCCACAACGTGTCGACGGATGACGGCTTGCATTGTATTGCTGCTCTCCTCGCCCTCAAATTTCAAGTTAACCTTTCCGTCGCCATCCATCCCCATAACCTCGGCTTTATAGAATGTGGTAGTATTGGGATAAAGCGCTAGCACCGTCTTACCCGTCTCTAATGGCGGCAGCACAGTCCCTTCTCTAGGGATAAGGATCATGCTGCTAGCGTAAGTTCGGAAATCTTTTTGATGACCATTCTCGTCCACGTCGGCGTCGAGGACCCTGTACCGCCTCGTCTTTCCGTCGCCGCGCACATCTTGGACGATGCCTAGAATCCAGTCCGTCTGCTCGTTACTTACGGGCTTCGGCTTGAAAGCGACCTCGTCGTCTTTGGCGAATGTCTGCTTGGTACGGATGGAGTTAGAAGAAGGCCCGGCTTGCGGTTCGGCGCTGCCCGCCTTGGCTGCTGGAGTAGAACGATCCCTAGGGGGGACTGAGTCACGGTCACCCTTGTTATTATTATTTATACGGCGTATGGTGGGGTTTGGAGACGGGACGGACGACTCGCCAGATCCGTCAAAGTCATATAGAGAAGAGGCAGCAGCGGCTGACTCCTTAGCCCGCTGGACTCTCGAGGTGTTTACCTCTTGTTGCTCCTCCTTGGCCTTCTGCACGGCACGCAATACCTTGAGCTTTTCGATTGTTTCGACGATGGCCTGACTAGCAATTTCATTGGCCTTTACACCCTTACGGTAGAAGTCATCGAGTGTATTATAGTCTTCTACGGTGAGGACTAATGAGAAGTATCAGATTACTTTGGCTGTGCTTAATGAAACGAAGACTTTGATGGATGGAAGACGGGACGGAAATGGGACTCACCGCCTTTGGTCCTCTTCTCGGCCATGAGCTTCTCCTGGTCGCGAATCTTGTTGACGTTGGAACTGCTGTCATTGAAGGCATTGGTAATAACAGTGCCTTTGTCCTTGATGTCTTTCCACATGGGCAATTCCTCGCCGTGCTCACCGATCTCGCTGTTCCTATTTGGACCTCTTCGCTGATTCCCTCGCGAAGACATCTCGGTGATGTTTTTATCACCTTAGGTACCTAAGGTAGATCTTATGATAAATGGCTAATTATGACGAGAAATGAGCGATAGAGTGATAGAGTGATAGAGTGATGGAGTGCAAGGTACAAGTGCAAATCAAGATCGGATATAATATTTTAATCGCGATGAAAAGTTATAAGAAGCATTAAAATCATTAGAAGTGACCGGATACATTTGTTTCATGGCATGTCCGAGTATAGCCATCTTAACTTTGAATATGAAGAGTAAATGAAGCTGCGCCTCTGTAGACGAACCCCCAATTCCATCCATGGATGTTTAGTTTGTGGCTTGTGGCTTAGGTACATATACATAGGTACATAGAGGTAGGTCAGCCTTTAGGTAGTACATACCGTAACTACATAATCAATCACCTTTGGATGCATATTTTTTCAGGCACTCCCGCCCAATTAGGTACCTATGTAGTACAGGCTTCGCGGGGCAACTCCCCCGCACCTTAAGCTTTTACCTAATGTACATGTGTCAACCGCGTAGCTACCCTTACTTTAGGTAGGTACCTAGGTACCTAAAGTAAGGTACCTCTTACACTACCTCCTAACCTTATAATCATCTCATATTCCAAATCTACGCGAACTCAAGTAATTACCCGTGAACTGCCACCTACTACCTACTACCTATACCGCTTCAAAATTCGAGCCATCATCGACAATGGTGCTACCCGTCCCTCTTATACGACTCCAATGCGGAGTAAACTCCTACGATTGGGGCAAGATTGGATCTGAATCTGCCGCAGCTAAGTTCGCCGCCGCGACACCGTCCGATACCTTGAACATTCAGACAGATAAGCCATACGCTGAGGTGTGTCTTCTATCCGCTGCCAAACCTTGCGCAATCTAATAGCTAACACGGTGGACCTTGCGCCTGTAGCTATGGATGGGGACTCACCCTTCAAACCCATCTAAGGACCTCGAATCCGGCCGAACCTTGCTCGAGCTTGTCGAAGGGAACCAGATGCTCCTCGCCCCGTCCATTAAGGCGAGATATGGTTCCAAATTACCCTTCCTATTCAAGGTGCTCTCCATAAATAAGGCCCTCTCTATCCAAGCCCACCCCAACAAGAAACTTGCCGAGAAATTGCATCAAAAAGACCCTAAGAACTACCCAGACGACAATCACAAACCTGAAATGGCCATTGCGATAACTGATTTTGAGGGTTTGTGTGGATTCCGCCCGCTTGGCGAGATTGCTCACTTTCTATCCTCCGTACCAGCTCTACGACAGCTAGTCGGAGAAGATGCCGCAAAGGCATTTATCGCTACGGTCCGAGGACAGCAGAACGACGATTCATCCGAGTCTACTGCGCAGAACAAGAGAGCCCTCCAATCTGCCTTTGCCGCTCTTATGAAGTCTTCACAAGAAGATGTAGCGTCGGCTGCCAAGCTCCTTGTCTCGGACGCTGAGAGCAGAAGAGGCGAATTTGCAGATGGCGGACTCGAATCTACCAACGGAGCAGTTATGTCCGAGTTGGTGGTTCGACTGAATAAGCAGTTCCCTGATGATATCGGTCTCTTCGTCTTGTTCTTCCTCAATTATGTCAGGCTTTCCCCAGGCGAAGCCCTTTTCCTGAAAGCGGACGATATTCATGCGTATGTGTCGGGTGATATCATCGAGTGTATGGCAGCAAGCGACAATGTCGTGCGAGCTGGATTTACACCCAAGTTTAAGGACGTCCAGACGCTGGTTGATCTATTGACGTACAATTATGCTCCCATCGAGGAGCAGAAGATGTCGCCAACAGAGTACCCTTACGTAGTCCTTAACCGCGCTGCATACAGCTCGGGCTCAAGGGCAACCCTGTACGACCCGCCGATCGAAGAGTTTAGCGTCATCAGGTCGGTACTCAATGGTGAGGGATCCAAGGCAACCTTTGATCCTATCGATGGACCAAGCATTGTTATCTGCACGGGGGGCAAGGGCAAAATAACGGTTGGCCCAAAGACCGAAGAGATTAAGGAAGGGTATGTCTTCTTCGTTGGCGCTACGGCGGAGTTAATTCTAGAATCTCAAGGAGGTCAAGATGACTCGTTTACAACATTTAAGGCCTTTTGCGAAGTTGAAGACCACAGTAATGGGGCACAGCTATAGCTACCTACTTGATTGTTAATATAAGAGGCCGAGTTATTATTGCCAACTCTCATTTCATGCTCGGAGGCCTCTACTTCTCCATTTGTCCCATACCCACACTAGAGATATCCTAAAAGCAATTATTGAGTTTATACATATTACATGCTTCCCAGCTACTTTTTGTGCTTATATTCTTTAGACTTCTGTAAGCTGAATCTTTTATCGGTTGTAAAAACTGACCAGTTTTATTGTCCTATTTCTTAACACTGCCAGCTAAGGCTTATGTTAAAGACGAACCGAACCCCCTTTTGCCAACTCCTAAATATAGATAGCTACCCGGCATGTGCTCCTTTTTGACTTGCTTGCTATTACGAAGTACTTTAGATTTATTGATGTATTAATTATGTATTGTATTAATAGTATAACTACCTCCTATACTGCATTAGCATGCTCCATTAGGTAGTATACCTATGTACATGTACCTAATGCTATATAAGATTGGGCCAAGCTATTGATGTACAAATTCCCCGTACCTTTCCGCGGCTGCGCGATGAGCTCTTGCAGGGGTAACCAGACAGTGTGTATATATATATCCACTAACTACTGTATATCAAATTTCATCTAACCTGATTTGGAAGCTATCGCGCTTTTAGCGTGGCACGCTAGCTTATATAAAGTAACGAGTAACCTCTGATAATGGTATTTATTAGGGTAACTAGTGAGGTTCAGGTAGTGTAAGTTTCCCCCCTTAAAGTAGCGGAAATTGAACCATTTTGATAATGACCTGGACCCTGGCGCATTCTAATGTTTCATTACTCTTCCAATTTGGAAATCGACACGAACAACTATTTTTTTCTTTTCTTGCCAATGCTGTCTTTCTCTTAATTTTCTCATCCTCCACTAAACTCCCTCGTTGTGCATGTGTCAATCTCCAATCTCGGATGTGTAATTTTACCTATTTTTAATCATTCCTCATACGGTAACCTCTACCATCTATGACAACCCTCCCATCGGCATCTTTCACCTCACGGACCCCCCCTCCCCTTCTTTAGGCTCTTCATAGGTCCTTCATCGATAGGCTGAACTGTTACGAAATACTCTCGTGATTCGATCAATTGGATCTCCAAAAGAGTATAGGTAACCAATAGAGACGCGTCGCGCGCTACCAATCACCGTTCTACCTATTGTTCTCCTCCTTTTCCCTTTCGACTCTCACATTAACGAACTCGACAACGTAAAACGCCATCTCAATCCCAGTCGAGCGCGCCAAACGCAAATCGATTCTCCATACGGCTTCACACTCCCGCAAACAAGGCGACATATATATTATCGATAGTACTTGTTCTCTTCACTAGGATTGAACTGATATCTTGACCGCGATCGATAATACTCGAGATGGGGGGCCAACTTTCTAAGATGATGGGTAAGATCTTCGGATCTAAAGAGATGAGATTGTTGATGTTGGGGCTCGATGCTGCTGGAAAAACGACAATATTATACAAGCTCAAGTTGGGCCAGGACGTTACTACTATCCCTACCGTCGGCTTCAATGTCGAGACGGTCACGTACAAGAACGTCAAATTCAACGTCTGGGATGTTGGTGGTCAAGACAAGATCCGTCCCTTATGGAGACATTACTTCAGCGGTAAGTGATTTGTCAACTGTGAATTAGGGTCGTGTTTTGGATCTGGAATTCTCTCAGTATTCCTAGTATTATTTTAGTCCGCAAGGGCCACCGTGAAGGTTCCTTGCAGATGGTTTCGTAGATAATCGCGGATACAAACGTGATAATTCGAGCACATGCTAACGGTGCAATGCACGGATAGGAACCCAAGGTCTAATCTTCGTAATTGACTCTGCCGATCGCACGCGGATGGAAGAGGCGAGACAAGAATTACATCGCATTATCAACGACAGGGAGATGAAGGATAGCTTGCTGCTGGTATTCGCAAACAAGCAAGATATCAAAGATGGTGAGTAACTACCAATTCCCGTCTCACTCCCTAGACATTGGAGAAGAGTCTGCTAAGTGTTCCTACAGCAATGAAACCACAAGAAGTAACCGAGGCACTCCAGCTGTCCAAGCTTAAGGATAAGATCTGGTACGTAGTGCCTAGTTGTGCCACGACGGGCGAGGGTCTGCTCGAGGGGTTGGCGTGGCTGTCAAACAACGTCAAGGCGCCCCCTGCGCCGGCCAAGAAGTAGGGCTTCTAGTTCTAGTTCACTGTTCCTTTGATACCCTTGATTTTCTTTGATTTAGAACGACCACCTCCCTACAACTTGGCCAGAGATGGACATGACGAGCGAGCTCCAATGGTCTTATACGGCTCTAATAACTCGATGAAATTGGTTCGGGCTAGGATGTTTTTGGCGCGGTACAATGAAGATGCCTCGTATAGTTCAGGGTCTAGTGTGTGAATTCAGTTTTGGCCCTTTGGAATGCGATCCCAGCTCAAGTGTAGTCGAGTGAGAAGCATTTTTCTTACCGTGCCGTATATATATACAGCTCCGTCTGCAGTTCCAGTCAGTTGCGAGTGAGTGCGGGGGAGGAATGGAAAGAGGCGAGACCAAGCCCGTGCTGCGACAGGCCGTCATAACCCCTACTTTGTATGAAGCTCGAGTATGCAATGGTAAATACACACCGGAGCCGGACAAAGTGGATAATATATATATACCCAATCCCCTCGGCGTTGGAAGCACTTAGAGCGGCCCCTTTTCTGTCACCAAAATTTTTGGTTCTTTTAGTCTATCAATCATGTCACGAATCCATCCGTCACACATCAGAGTCTTTTCACGATACGAACAGGGGCGGTATACTAGGCGAACGCAGTCTAAAGGGATAGAGAGCAGAGTAAAGGAAAGGACAGGGGTATCCGCATCATCCCGCGTTAGTTAATTTGTAAAGGGCAGTAGGGGGGTTGGTGCTACTTGTGTCTTGTCGTATAGTAATATTGTAATACTGGCAGTTTCTGTTCCTAACTGTTTGAGGAGCGGACGGGGTTGTCTATTACTTTCGCTTCAGAATCGAGCAATGAAAATATATTAGATTGACAAAACCCGTGTTAATCACTCAAGTGTATTAAGATTTTGCAGCCCAGGTCGTTTTGCTAAGATGGAATGTAGATTGATCTACTTGTATTCACCTATATCAACTACGAGGGTGGGCAGTCTGCGGACAAGCAATATATACGGCATATCGAATAGCAGAATCTCAATTGTTTTCATATTCCATCCTTGAAACATTTATACGTAACCTGTCTGATGATGTACGCCAATACCAATGTTAGTGCAGTTCCTAGTCCCAACCAGGACCACCGTTACTCCGTCATGTTTGAGACTAAACTCCAAGTTGCCCCTCCGTAAATGGCAAATTAATACAAGTAGCCTGTGGTATGGACATGTCATCCGACCTGGACCTTCATCGGCTCACTTATCGGCTCTTGAACCGGACAGAACAATGGACCTGACTCCTCTCCTGAGCAACACCATGCCCCGGCTAAGCTGGCCTAGCTGTTTTAGCCAACCTAGCCTATTTGGTTTCTCTGAGTTTCTGGATATACTCAACCTTCTACTGAGCTTTCTAAGCCTCCTAAGCCTCCTTTACCCTTTTTACGGGCCTAACGATACTATCGTCCGGTAAACCCGAGCGCTTAGTGCCAGGTAGGCTGGCGGTGCGGATATCATTATCGTCCTGGCTAACGCGACGTTGCGGGTACGCCACCTTGAGACCCTCGAAGCAGCCTGCCGTCACGCTGATGCCACCGCCCGACGACGTTGCTTGGAAGAACGGGTGCTGTAGTGCCTGTGCTGCTGTAAGCCGCCGCTCAGGGTCGTACTCTAGTAGACCCGAAAGCAGTTTGTAGCCCTCAACCCCGAGGGCCGCGAGGCTGCCGTTGGAATTAGGGGATGAGGTTGATGAGTGTGCACCGATGGTACTGTAGTACCATTTCTCGAGGTGACTCGTCGATGCTGATGATTTGCTGTGATGGTGATGATGGTGGTGATGACCCGGATGTAGCATAGGCGGCTGTAACATGCTCAAGTTGTTGTACTCAGGCATACTCGATAGGTAGGGCCAGCGCTCCTTAGTAGGCATACCCATAATGTCAACAATTTTCTGCATCTGGTTACGTTGGAAAGGCACCGTTTTTTTATCCATCTTAGCTTCCTCCCCTTTGAAGATAGGTCGCAACGATAGCAACTCAGCGAAAATACAACCAACCGCCCACATGTCTATCGCCGGGGTGTAGTGTCGACTACCTAGTAGCAATTCAGGAGCACGATACCATATCGTCACGACTACCTTATCGCCGCTCCATAGAGAATGTAGTGGTTTATGAAATAGTCGGGCCAGCCCTAAATCGCCAATTTTGACTTGCCCGCTTGAGGTTACCATGATGTTGGCAGGCTTAAGGTCTCGATGGAGAACCCAGTTGCTGTGTAGATATTGGCACCCATTCAGCAGCTGGAACATGATGCTTTTCACCGTGGAGGGAGGAATGCTATGGCGCGGTTGCTGGGTATGGTGGTGGATGATCTGTAAGAGATCATGCTCGGCATATTCGAACACCATAAATATACACTTATCCTCTAATATGATCTCCACTAGGCGGATAACGTTCTCGTGGCTAAGCTCTGAACAAAGCGCCATCTCGCGCACGGCTGATTGTGATATGCCCGAATACTGTATCTGCTCCCCTTCCTTGTCGGGTTTGAACTTCTTGATAGCAAACTCGCCCGGCTGACCTTGCCGGCTGACGGCCTTGTACACCCGGCCATAGGTTCCACTACTGATGAAGCCGATGACTTTATACTTGTCGACAACTTTGACTTTAGACTGATAACCCACATTGCCGCCTCTATCGATAGGGTCTATATACGGATTAGCTAATTGCTAACTTTATAAGGGTTTCCATGATAGAGAGAAAATGAATAAAGTGACTGTAATACATTGACTACGAAACAGTGAAGTATGTGGTTGAAAAGCGGTCATTAAAGGATGCATCGGTCTAGGCTCTATAGATTCGGTAAGAGGAAAGCCCACGTTTGTAGGGCCGTGGGACACTTTATTGTCCTCCTGTGGTTGTGTTCGACGGTACGATAGAGGATTGCCAAAGCCTTTCCCAAGTACCATGATACACAGTACTTCTCTAGATGGAAGGAAAAAGGAGAGAAAGGGGCGGAGAGAAACAAAATAAGAATCAAGACCAAAGTAAGAGCTATAAAGACAGAAATTTAATAGGGGGAGATTGTCAGCGGCGCAACATTTTGCCAAGGTCGAATACAGTCCGAAGGCCACCAATTAAGGGGCGACTTAGATGTTGTGAGATTTTATAACCGAAAGGAGCAAGTAGAAAATGGTGGACGAATGCGAACAAGCGGTCGATATACGAAAAGTAACCAAACAGAAAAAGACACAATTAACAAGAAGATATTTGTTGAGCTGCATACCTTCGAAAACGGCCTGTACGCTTCTTTTAAGGGTTTGGTTTCTTGCAGAAGTTGACGCTGGACCTGACGCCGCACCCGAAGAGGGATTGGTGAGACTCATGGTTTATCTGTAGTGCTATAGTGCTGTGCTGTGCTGTGCTGTGGTGTCGTGGTACTATGATGCTTGTACTCGTGTGTTGGATGGATCAGATCCCGATCAGACCAGATCTAGATTTGGACTCAGATATGGACTCAGATACAGATACGGCAATACAGATTTAGACAGGAAACTGATCAGGCGCGCACCCAGCGGGTCTTCCGGCAGCGTCGGGTGAGATGAGACAGGTCTTTCTTTGCTCATCCACTACGTATTGGCTCACTCAGCCGTGGATTATCTTCTATGTATGCGCTTGAGCGCCCGTGCGTCTCTGCGTGTCTCTTTTCGGCCACGAGATATCCTCGTATTGGTTGGGACTCCAAAATTTCAAAGGAGTCGGGCGTCTCGGATATCGATAGGATTCTGACTGAAAATAATGGAGATGATGAGGATGATGGGGCGTCACATACGTTTCCGTCAGGTAGCCGTTTGTTGTAATTGTTTTGAATGTTACCGTAATTCATTAATGATCAATAATCCACATGACTAAAAGCTAATGTCGAACGAGACGGGAATCCGAGCGGATTAAAACCAAGTCAATAAAGAATATGATAGAAGGAAATACGCAGCTATCTCTTATGAATAAATTATAAATGCACTGAATGTTGGAAAATATGCGGAGTTAAAAAACGATCATGATAGCTGGGAAGGTGACGCTTTCCGTTATTTCATGGTAGGTAGCTTCTTACTAGGTTAGGTAGGTAGGTTAGCTGTTTCCGTCCGTGAACTTTAGGTAGCCGGAGGTTAAAGACTACCTAGGTACCTACTAGTTTGACCCCGGATGATGAATGTGGCTAGTGCTATCGTGGCGCAGTCACTCCTGGTATCCAATAGGTGCATGTAGGTACCTACAACACCAACCTTCTAGGTACCTACCTATATTTTAGGTATAGCATATATAGATCTATGGATATGTATGTGTACCTACCTGCCTTAGGTTAGGTATGTTCAGGTTGTTATAGCTTATTATCGGGAATAGTACTTGCACAAATACCTAGGTATACTTGCGTACACTAGACCCTATGCTCACTCCAGAAGGCTGTGTCTATTGGAATTGCATTGTATGAAATAAATAAGATCAAATGTCGCCTTAGGCTAATTCACTTAAGGTCATTTTAAGTCATTTTGCTACAACTTTATAAACTCCACGGGCATGGTACTCTGAACTCCTTCTCGACTGCTAGTTAAATGGACTTGCCCGGGTCTATCGAGGCCCTAGCTTCTCCAGAATCCTCGGCCCTTGCTCAGCCCATTCTTGTTGCGTGATCCACATACTCTCTTTGTCGGCCATGATGTTGGCCAACACTGCTCCGCCCAAGAAAACCATATGCCGACGGCGAGGAGGGTCCTCTATCCTCACCTTGAACTTATTCAGTCTTTCAGAATTGCCACCAAGTACACGCGTGAGCCATAATTGCTTCAGCTCCTTCTCCAACCGTGACGGGAGACCTGGATACATGCTGCTGCCACCAGACAAGACGATCGCTTTGAAAAGAGAAGAGCGCACATCAACATCGGCAGCCTGGATGGTGTTGAATAGGAACTCGGCGATACCCGGCTGTTCACAATCTACCAAGTGAGGCTGGAACAGACACTCGGGAGCTTCAAACCGCTCACTACCTACTCGGATTACTCGCCCGTCAGGTAATGTGTAGCTCTCCACCAGCACCGTTGTATCCTCGCTAAGACGCTTATCTAATTCTAGATCGTATGAAACATAGCACAGCTTCTCTTTAATTTGACGCACAGTCTCGAAGTCGGCCGTTCGGTTGAGCGCATACCCTCGTCGTAGAAGCAGGGCGATGAGATTGCGTGTTACGTCTCGCCCGGCCACGTCAAGTCTCCGAGTGAGATGATTGAGCACGACTGACTCGTAAACGGGGACGATATGTGTAACTCCGTCGCCAGAATCGACGACGACACCGGAGCTCAGACCTAGCTTATGTTAAGTCGAAACTTTCCAGATACTTGGGAGGCTAAGTATTTACCTTGAGCATACAAGGCTAGCACGGCTTGGATGGCTACGTAGACGCCCCCGAAACCGTAGCGCTCGAACATGACCTCGCACATCTGTTCCCGGTTCTTCAGGGGGTTCATAGGGGGTTCGGTAAGCAAGATCTTGCGTCCTTTGGGATCAATCTTCATCTTCTCGTAGAATGTGTAATCCCAGAGGTGCTGCATATCGTCCCATTTCTTCACAATACCGTTCTCCATGGGATAGGAGACTTGGAGCATGGTTCGTGCAGCCGCCGCCTCGTCACCGCACATGATATCCTTGAGGACAAAATCATTGTCACTGTTCTTCTCCTCCGTTCGTAGGATGGGTCGGCCGATAATAGAGGGATATTGGAATTCGGGAAAGTTTTGTGCGGCGTATCCGACCTTTAGGAAACCGGTACCTCCATCGAGAACTATTGTAGTATGTTAGGCATAGGGGTAGCTCGAGCTAACTTGGTGTAGCAGACAGAAAGCAATAATGTTACTAACCGATGGGAGGAGGAGCTGCCATGTTTTCGACAAAACCTTTCGGCAACGTCTAGAACGAACGAAGATATAGAAATAAAATAACGTTAAGCCGTGCTCGCCAGCTGTGGGCGAGGCTGCTTGCAGCTTCGGTGGGTGGGGTTTAGTTTTGGAGGTTAGGCGTTCGTCAGTTGATGTTAAGTACCAGGTTACCTTTCATTTAACGGGCGTGAACCTTGCGAAACCCAAGTTCCATCTGAGGCTGAGGCCGAGACGGTCTGACGTTGGCCATGTGGCTGAGGAATCTCCAAACCCCATAATTTGAGCTAAGCTCATTATGTAAAAGTATGAAGTACCTAGGTACCTAAAGCTACATACGAAGATGTAACCTGGTACATGTACATAGTTAGTTACCCGGAATTACATATATACATGTACTAAAGTCAGCTCTTGTCAGGTGATACCCCTCACTTACAACCGTCGCCCCGCAGAAGATGAGCCACGAGTCAATCTAGCTGTAGAATCCATATATGGTAACCTAGTGGTATAAATGAATGCCTAGGTAGCCTTAGGTTGCGTCTAATGTGCGAGCGGATATGAGAATATAAAATTGTATTAACAGGTAGATACATATGTAGGTAAGTTCCATGGTAATAGTTAAATAAGCTTTAACTAGGTAGGTAGCTAGATTAGCTTACATTGGAGATTTTCTTTATCAAAAACTACCCTACCTTGGTATGAAATTTATTCAACTATTTCTTCCCTGAGAACGAAACCAAAACCAACAACTATGGGCACCCAACTTGTTCGAGGGAAAACGACCAAGATCTTGGTCTTAAATCCCAACTCCTCTAAGGTTATGACTGACGGCATGAACGTCGTCATTGGCTCTATAGATTTACCATACGTGCGTTAACACATGACCCGATCACCTCTCTAGACCTCCTATGACCTCCTATGATTCACCTTACTCTCTTATCCCTCGAACTTTGCAAGACCACCGAGAAATGGATAACAAGGTCTAAAACCTAAAACTCACCTTAACATTATCTGCAGTCAACCGAAATTCACACATACACAGGCCCCGAGGGCGCGCCCGCAAGTATCAACGACGGGAAGGACCTCGAAGAGAGCACTGCAGCTGTGCTCAAGGACTTAGAGACCTCTTATCATAACGGTGTGGATTACGACGGGGTCGTGATCGCGTGCTATAGCGTACATCCGCTCGTACCAGCCATGCAGCATGACCATACAAAATACCCCAACGTCGTCACTGGAATTTTCGAGGCTAGTATACTAGCAGCCTTATCGGTGCTCGCATACGGCGAGGCATGGGGTATCATCACTACAGGAAAGTTCTGGGAGGAGCACTTAGCTACGGGTGTGGATAATTTCCTCGGTGCAGAGACAAGAAGTCCTGGTACCGAAAATTCAAAGTTTGCCGGAGTTGAATCTACCGGCCTGAATGCCTCTGATTTCCACCACGGCATTGACCCCGCCATCGTGAGGCGGAAGCTCAAAGAAGCAACTAAGAGACTTCTTTCTAAGGGCCGCGTTCGTTGCATTGTTATGGGCTGCGCGGGAATGGCCGGGTTGGAGGACATCATCCGAGAGGCTGCCAAGGAAGAAATGGGAGAAGGATTTGCCCACTCTCAACTACATGTTGTAGACGGCGTCAGAGCTGCCATAATGCAACTTGAGCATACCATCAAATATCAAAGGCTTCTGCCCGGAAAGCCATAATTTAAATAGAAAAATCGATTTGCCAATTTCATCATGTAACTGCTATATGTTTGTTTATGTAGGTAGGTAGGCAGGTATATAAATCAGAACCCGTAGCCCATCTTAATCGAGCCGCTGTGTTCGGCCCCAAACTTCGTCCGCATCCCTCTTTCCCTTAGTCTCTGGTACGCGCGAAAGCACAAATAACCCACATAGGACGGCTAATGCGGTAAATATGAAGTAGACCCAGCCGGCACCTCCAAGTCGCTCGTTCAGAGCAACATTAATAATCGGGAAGAACTGGGCCACTAAGAACGTAGCAATATAATTTGCACCCAGACAACAGGACTGGGTCGCACCGACTGCTTCTTGCCCAACTAGCTCAGAGGCAAGAATGAACGGTACCGGTCCGAGTCCAACAGCAAAAAAGGCTACGAAGAAAAGAACCGTAATTGCTGAGAGGATCTTAGTCTCGAATAAGATAGACAAGGCCAGTACGAGCGCGCTCGCACCCTGTCCGAAAATCGAAAGGAGGAGACAGGTTTTCCTTCCGAACTTATCTGGCAACGGCGAACACGCAACGGTCGTGATAAGATTGATGGCTGATATTATGATCGTCAACAATGCCGAGTTAATCGGCAGGAGATCTCGGAGAAGCGACACCGAATACATGATGATGGAATTGATACCGCATAATTGTTGTGCGCACATGACACCGACGGCTGCAATAAGGGCGGGACGGTATAAAGGGTCTTTTACTACCTCCACGAAGCCGAGAGTCCCATTATTCTTAAGGCTGGCTTTGCTCGAGGTCGATCCTTTCCTAGGGCCGCTAGAAGGATCGTTGAGAAGTCCCTCTTCCTCTGGGATCACTGCAGAATCCCCCCACGTAGAAGTCTCCTCCCCGATATCGTAATGTCGTCCTCGGATCCTTTGTAATATACGTCTCGCCTGAGCAACACTCTCATTTGCCGCCAGCCAAACTGGGCTTTCCGGGATTAGTAACAAGCCAAAGCCCTGGACAGCGGCGATAAGGATACCGGCGCCCAGTATCCATCGCCATGCAGAGCCATAGCTTAAGAAATATCCCATAGTTTGTGTAACCAGTATACCAACATTGATGCTGACCTGTGTCATGGCGCCGAACGTACCACGTTCGCGGGGAGGTGCTACCTCGCTGATGTAAATGGGCACGATGACAGTGGCGGCGCCGGCACCGACACCCGAGAAGATACGGCCAACGGCTAGCGTAGCAATAGAACTCCCGAGAGTCTCGATAATAGAGCCGACAATATAAAATAAGCTGGTCAGCCTCATGGCCACAAGGCGACCCTTAGCGGAGGCGATGGGTCCACTCCCGAGAGCACCGGCCAGACCGCCGAGCGTAAACATACTCGATACAACGGCGAACTGAGCATCGTCCATAGGTACGCAATCGGGTAGTGCAGAGGAAGCAGTCGCTTGATCATTGTTCGGGGACGACGACGACATGAGGGATAGGGCGGCGGAGAATCGCGATACGGGCTGCTGCCTGACCCGACAGGAGATGACATCTTGAGGTGCATTAAGTTCGGCCTAGAAAGTGGTAGGATATGAGGTTAGATTAGTGATAAAAGAAAACAACCAGGTGATGAGACTTACAAGATGAAAACCGAACTGCAACGGGCCGAGGGTGCTAATGACGACTAAGAGGATAAGATATGGCGAGACATCTCTGATGCACTGTCGTAGCCCGGAGGACGACGCCATTTCTGATATTGAAACCTATTCTAATTCAATAGCTAAACTAGATAGAATCATAGATTAACTAACTAGAATAGATAATAGGTAGTTATTGGAATGAAACATAGAATCGAGGAGGAAATTCTCAATTGATTCATGTTAGAATATAAAATGCCAACCACATGATCCTGCAAGTTTATGACAGGTTTATGTATTGTATTACATGCGCAGCTCCAGGTGCAGCTTCAGGTGCAGCTTCATTAAATGTTTAGGCATGTGGATGTGCCTACCTTTTATGTAGGTACGGAGACAGCAGATAAAGGTACATAGATACATGTAGATACACGTAGGACGACAGTTTAATTTAGGTACCTACCTAGGTAGGTAGGTACGGATCCGTATTGTACCATGCATTGACTTAACGCAGCTGCGCAACAAACCTTAACATTGATACATATAACTAGGTAGGTTAACCTTGTAATAGCCGGCCTATGACTTCCAAGTTCCCAACATTCAAAAACGATATAACAGGTATCTAACCTTAAATGATACCTATCATTTACCTATGTACCCGTGTAGGAACTCTCCTCCTTATAATTCGTAAGGCTATGGCAGCCCATAATCAGGCACGCAAAACCCATGGCAAGGAATCATTAAGTTATGACCATCGTTAACATCTCTCAGCCGTTGGAGCCATAGAAGAATATCCACCTGTATACCTTCGTAGTACCAGAACTAGATTAAAATGGAATTAACTACTCATCCTTTTTTAGGTTGCAGGACGGGAAAAGGCACAACCAAAAATGGCAACGATAGCAAAAAGGTATAATCTGCACATACGTGTCTGTTATCAAAGCGGTCCAAGATGAACACTTTCGATCCTTGCTGGTAGGCCCAGTCTAGTGAGAGTGAGGATCCTTCATCTTTTAGTTTTCCTGGCCGGAGTACTTCGTAGATGGAAAATCGCGTGTCTAGGCGTGTTCTAGGTGCCAGGGGCATTTGGGCGGGCGAGTATCCTTTTGTCAGGGTCTTGTTGATCAGAGGATGCAAGCCTTGTATGGGGTCGTCCGGGCTCGTTCTGTAGAGGAGACAAGTCGGATATTGCGATAGGATATCATCAACCTCCTTCCACTCTACGAATTTGTCGAGGAAGAATAAACTAAGACCAGGCGGACTTCTTGCCAGTCGGAATTGGGAGTCCAATTTCCCAGAGCGTAATTCGACGTTGAGACCAATGGTTAGCGTCTCAAGTTGTTGGTCTTGGTCCAGAACAGCCAAAGCTAGAGTCTCCAGCTGCGTATGCATCGAGAGGTCGTACTCTATTCTGACATGTCTCACCGACAAGCACGCTGCTAGAAAAATCGGATACGGTAGTTCTCGAGTACCAGTACTCCAGCGTCGTGGTTCCGCCCATTCGAGCACGTCGCTCTCCACATTGAACTGCGTGATCCTAGAGCTGCTACACATGATATCGAGAGCTATTTCATCCACCGATTGGGTTCCTAGAGACCGTCTTACGGTATCCCTACTGATCTGGAGCGGCTTATAGCTCTTTATTATCTCTTGCCGCGCCTCGTGGTTAGCCAGGATTAGACATGGGAGAGGTGGCATCCTTTCGTCATAGATGATGCGGTAGTGAACCTGCACCCAATCTGATTCTGTTGCGGCATTCCAAGCATCCAGGTCTAACTTCAACCTCGCTGGGACGAAGCGATGCGATATAGCGAGACGCCATATCTTATAGCGAAGCTCGGCGGGGAGGAGGCGAAACTGCGGAAACGAAGAGGCCATTATGAATATATATCTAAGGTCAGGTAGACACCAGAGAGAGGTAACTACCAGGTAGATAGTTACGATTATGCGACGCAATATATCTCACCTTAGATTTCATCTTAGAGGGGTTAGTAATCCCAATCCTCTTGGTTTCGCTATCGGCCAATCAACATTAATCCTCTAATGACTTGGTTGAATTTACGATTGTCACCACTCTTTTTTTCTCTACTTTATCCCTTGATCCGCTGAAAACTTAGATATCTCCTGATATGTTCCTGGTATGTTTTTCTACCATGTCGAATATTCTTAACAGGGGAATAGTATGTGTGCTAACATACCTACTGAAGTTGTGTTGGCCCAACCTAGAGTTATAAATAAGAGGTTTGTTTAATAGACAAGCAAAAAACGCTGCACACCGAAAATTTGGTATTGCTTAAAGCATTTCCCCTTCTTTCAGATTCCAACTTAACGTTGACCACAATTTGACCCTTTTACTGTCCACGCGGACCTAGTCAACCACGTTTCTTTTCATAGCTATATCGATATTAGCCGCAGTTTCGATAATCTTCGGCCGACCTAGTTACGCTAGTATTCACCTACTCCGAAATGACCGAGAAAGATTAAACATATGTTTATGATTTACTTATTCGGTGTCACTTCCTGGACGACTTGGTACCCATTGTACGGGGGCACGCTGAGCCTCGTCGTTTTCGTTTTCGTTCACGCCGAACTTGGTCATGCTGAATTCCGGCAAGCGCTTCTGCTCTTTCCGTAATACGCCGCCATGCTTCAGCCTACGCCGTCTTAAGACCTCCATTTCCTCAGCATTCTTAGCCTTCTCTTCTTCCTTGGCCAACATCGTACCTTCGATACTTAGGTATCCGTAATCGCCGCTGATGCCAACTTCATAATGCTTGATCCGGAAGTAGATCTTAGCCCCTCCTCGTATTCTCCTCCCGGTCTCATTTACCCAGTAACCGGTAGTATGCATCTGAGTGGTGTCATCGTTTGGGTTGTCAAAGGGTTCGGGTGTCGGGAGTTTGGCTTCCTCAGCTGTCTTGTCCCTGTCGGCTTTCTTGCCCTTACCACTATATTTGCCTTTATCTTTGTCTTTGGACAGCAAATCAACCCAGCGCCAGCCGTGAGGCAATCGCGCTGCTTCGATAGAGGCATTAAACATGTCCCAGCAGACGACTCCGATATGGCCCTCGCCTTGTAGATTCACTATACCTTCCATGGACGCGCCTCGAGACGGACGGAATAAGTCCACGTCGACCGTCAACCACCCAAAAGCTACCGCATATTCGTTGATGGACTCAAGCAGGACGGTCTCCTTTGCCTTGCTTTCTTCAGTCAGTGACCCCCTACCTGGTGCCTCTCCAATGCGGGGGTTTCGATAAGCTAGTAGAACACCACGAAAGCTTGGAACATAGCGGTTGAGCAGAGGTCTCAGATGCTGGTCTGCAAAACCTTCTATGGGCTCAATTAAACCTGATGGAAACAGAGGGAGGTACTGTGAAACGGTTTGTGTGAAGAAGGGATATTCGCTCGCCGCCGGCTTTTGTCCGAATTCGTCCGAATTAGAAGTCTCGGCTGGGTCTGAGTCGATATCCATAGAATCCGGTTCGGGATCCTCTGTTTCTTGGTCCTGTGTCTTTGGGTCTGGTTGACTATTTGGAATGACTGACGACACCACATTGATCTTGTCATGTTTCTTCTTATGTTCCTTTGACTTTTTCTTGTCCTTTTTGGAGGTGCTTCCGTCCACTGCGCTATTTTGCACTATTTGGTGCTCATCTGTCTTGTCCGTGGTCCGGTCCCTGTCCTTATGTCTTGGCCTCTTCTTCTTCTTTCCTGCTTTGCTGTCGTTGCCGTCTGCTTCGGTCTCTGGTATAAGCGCGTCAGGCAACTTGGCCTCTATCTGGATTGAATATTCTGGTTCTGTGGCAGGAGCATTGCTGCTACTTTTTGATTTCTTGTGCTTTCGCTCGTTGCCCTCGGTACCATCGGCTTCATGGTGTCGTTTATGTTTCTTATGCGACTTGAGTTTCTTGTCGAGCGGTGTTGAAGCTGTGTTGTCTGCCATCGCGCAGGGGGTGGGGGAGCTGGCGTGAGCAGAAGCTGAGTCCAGAATTCAGAATTGATTATAATTATTATGATAGGATTAAAAAGGTGAAAAAAAACAAAGTTGATTGAGCTAATGAAATGCGCCGACATGGGATTGCAAGGGACTCTAAACCGTAAATTTTTTTTTCGATCACCGACTTTTATCGATAAGCTTGTTAATTGTTTTCAGCGGGGCATTCCGGCTTTCATCATAATAAAATATATGTGTATAGCATCTAATGTAGAATCTAAACATACAGATACCTCGGAGGTACTTAATTTAATCATGGCTTATGCATATTACATTTAGAATACAATATCTTCTTCATTTATATATATCAGTTTATTCGGTTTGTCTCTTCTGACCTGTATGTGTAGGTTAGGTTTGGTGTAAGTGAAGTATTACATATTATTAAGATAACACTCTTAACATGCAAACCTGCAACCACAACCTTGACAATTATATAGAGAGACGCGTATTTAGGTTTATATATGAATGAGTCATGTTTCATTTATCCTACCGAGTTCTAGTCATCTATTGAATATCTACAACCAGGAAATATCTGTAAGATAGCCAACCATGGGCAAATATAGAAATAATTTACACCCATGCAGAACGGACCTCAATATCCTTTCCCGCTGATAGCCCTCTCTACAACAGTGCTTAATGGTTCCATGTCTCCCGATGTGAGACCCAATATCTCATTATCAGTCTTGTCATATAGTGTACCGCCTTCAGCCCAGATACGCTTCAGCGTGTATAGCGTTGCAATCGGATCGTTAGCATTCCACCTTTCATTCTCCATCTCGCGAAGCTTCTGGTTTGGTGTATGGTCGACCGTCCACTTTGACCCAGTCTGCTTCTCAAATTCTGCCAGGATAGCGTTCGGTGTCGTAACAAACGATTGGACTTTGAGGACTTTCCCCGTTGATACTTCGGGGTGTCGGAGAGCTGCAACCACTAGCTTACCAACGCTACACCATGTTAGCGGGATGAGTTGAATAGTTACTGCTGCTTTGTATGAAACCAAGAAGCTTACTCGGGCATGCTTGTAAAACCAACTTTGCCGTCTCCGCTTCCAATGACCACGGCCTTCTTTGACTTGGCATCATATCCTCCGGCCTCTTTAGCTACTGGCGCAAGTACCAAATACATCTCGATATACGGACCGGTTACAACATAAGTGCACTTGACCTTCTTCAAATTCTCACGGATAAATTCTCGTACTCTGAGCTTGTTCTGGTGCGGCTTTTCATTTTTACTAGAAGCATCGTATTCGATATCCGTGCCATATTCGCTAGGGAAAAACCACTGCACGTTGCTCTCTTCCGCAAGCTTTAGCAGTTCAATTTGACTAGCTAGCGCATTTCTTCCCAAGCACGAGACAACTGTATCTATGCCATTGTACGCGTTTCGAACATCATCAGCGCTGCTAAGATCGCCTGTGATGACTGATAACCCCCGAGACTTCCATGACGATAGTAGGGCCTCCTTGTCTGGACTAGATGCTGTGGCGGGCGACGTGAAGATGGAAACTTGACGACCAACATGGGGGCCGGCTGAGAGTATAGCCTCGGTAATGTATTTACCAATAGTACCTGTCGCCCCAACGACCAATATATTAGATGGAAGTTGGTTCGCCATCACTAGGACTTGGGAAAATATCGCGATAATACATAAACCTTGATGTTAACTACGTGTAAGAGGACCAAAATCACGATATCGGATTGCGGGGTAGTTCTTTTCACCCGAAGTAAACCGCCCATAGAATTATGATCTGTCATATTTTTACGAACTACCTATTAGAAATTCAGGTCTGTCATAACTAGTCTGGTTAGGGATTAGAAGATTCGTAATGCTCTAGTTGACAGCTTTTATAATGGCCTTCCAGCAATGGCGAAAAGTTGTTCCTAGAGCTTTGACTTCGGTACTTGAGTTTGCTTAGATTGATATGATTTTAAAGCGCCGCCCTATTATATATATATGTGTGTAGGTATGGGTACGCGTATAAACTCAGAAAGGGGAAGCGGACTATATAAGCCTTAAGTAATACATCGGATCCGTCCGATCATTGGCAGAACTGGGTGGAATAGGAGGTTCGGTAAACTGGCCACGGGCAATGATCCGAAGAACCATACATGGATATGGCCCGCCAGGACTTACGGTGGACCTAGACGATGAAGTCATGGCATTACACGATTGGCGACAGGCTCTATGCCACGAATCTCTGGGGTAAGACTGGGGTAAACCCTGGGGATACCGTGGTAGTACATATCTCCTATGCTCGTAAGATACGTTTACATGAGAAATGATCCCACCCCCTCCTTCACCTGCACATTTAGATATACGAATGTAACGTATGGGTCGCTTCGTTAGTTATCAGATAGCGTTTGTGTATAAACCTGCTTCTTTTCTAAGTCTAGCTGTGTAGTACCAACGTTGAACTTGGATCAACATAATGTTCTGCAGGTACAGCTGAGCTGATTCCGCCCTTTTGGAACAGTATCCTTGCTTTTAGCGGATAGATATAATGGATTGGGGGGCGGGGCGTACATTAACGACATGCTATTTCATGGATCATGTCGATCACCGAGTTCCAATTATTCATCTGTCTGATTGATGCCGGTTGAGCCGTTTTTGCTAATACATGCTATTCCTTTGACGGCCCTGATAATGTAGCACACCAACGGCCTTTCGGAGCTCCTTGTCCGCTGAATGTGGGTAGAACTACGTGATAAGACGATCTGAAGTCATGTTGCCTCTGTTTATCTCATAGATTAAGCACTATACACTATCAACAATACGACGAGAATATGATCCTATCTTACGTCTTCTGATCGAATCTGCCGGAATTGTAAAGACCAAGAGCGCCAATTACCGACGAGGTGGATATCTCATGCCAGGTTATCATCTAATCCAACGAGGACTTGTAGGCTCCCGTTCTAGAACTTCATGAAATAGACGTGTCGAATTTCGGGGGCACTACTAGGAGGGAGTAATATATTGAATGTACGTATTCCTCTTGTATGAATGATAAGTAAAAGCGATCGGACATGGGCGATGAGTGGCTTGTAAGTGTTTCGATAGAAACCTACTTGGGTGCTCTAAAAATTGGCACACCCTAATATTTCGTCACCCTTTGTGAACGCTCTACGGATCCCGATTCCCGACTTCAAAACGACGTTGAATCATCATCGAATATCTCTAGAACACTAACCCACATGATTGCCAGTCCATATCTATTACACAATTTAAACTGATTTTCCGACTAGCCCCGATTCTGGCAACGTGATAGTCTCGCTGGTATGGAAGCGTATGTGTTGTTCTAGACCTTTGAGTGTCGAATGAGGATTAGGCTATGCGAAGCCACAGGTTGGGCTGATGCAAAAACGAGGCACTTATTGACCTCGGGTACTTCCAGGTCAAGCGGGCACAGTACCTATGATACAGTGCTAAAGAAGATGAATGTGTCATGGCAACTTGCCTATTTTAGGTGTCCTATTTTAAACCTCTCGTGGACGTCATTCCCTCATCATTAACACTAATCCTTCGTTTGTAAACGCGTGTGGTTTGTTCCTATTGGCCAATTTGCACAAATGAGAGGCGGAATTTAAATGTTTTAAAGGGAAAAAACGGAGAGACTCCTGATATCAGTATAAACATAAAGAGCTTCCATTATTATGAAAGAGGTAGTTTAGCAATCTTTGACTTAGATAGAAGAGAACGCTACATATCTATGTACCTACCTAACCTAATTAAGGAGCGTCGTATCTATGTCTCTATGTATTGGACCGTGCTGAAGCAAGCAGATTAGCGATGGGCAGTGCTAGGTATTACCTGTATGTATGTATAGTCTTTAGCAACACTGTGTGAGATGCACATATCGTTACAGATCATCCCCATCATCCCTTAGCTATGTACATAATACACATATATCTGCATTACAAGGCATTATCCTTGCCTATAACATTTCTCCACACCTTCTCCAGGGATTACCTGGGTACAATATGTACATACAAGCAGCCAAGATACCGTACCACCTCCTGGATTTCAATCAATAAGAAAGAGCTTAACTGGCACACTATTCATCAGGTAGCTTCTTCATATGCACTTTGCCTTCACCTACCGGAGCTCTTTTTACGGTAACAAGATACTTAAGCTCCAAATACTGGACGAAACGCGCCACTATCAGGTGTTATATTGCTATCGTTAAACGTAACCAGTAGAATCAACTTTCTGTTTTGCCTCTTCTAGAAACCCATGTCTTTAATGGTCAAGTTGTAATGGCGTTTTCCATGTATATAGCTGCGTCCTCCCGGATAATCTTACTCATATATCCTCGGCAAACTCGCTAATAAAAGGTGCTCGAAAGTCCTTTACTCGTTCAGTTCCAGCCTTGAAGCGTTTGGGCAACATAAGTGACAGGTCAGCATCGCATACATACATACCTACCTACCTAGCTTATCCTACCCTGCTGGTAGCACCGCTTTTACAGCTGCTGAGTTGTATAATATTGACATCAACCTTTGAAATATCGACGCCATCGTTGAGTTTGGTTGGATGGTTCCGACGCCTAACCAAGCTTTGAGTCCGGTCTCGACCCTGTTGGCCCCAATAATTTACCTGCAATCACGTCGTCGAGCCCCTACCATTTGCAAACAGGGAGCTTCAGCTTTTTTTTTTGTCCACCTTACCGCAGTAGTAAACTTGCTACAAACACGGCCGAGTCTAGTCCAGCAACGGGAAGACCAACGGTTTCTTAGCTAAACACCGCCTTTCCTCCAACTCCTAAACTCCACCTTACTAAATTTGAAAAATATTAATCGCTATATTGGCGACCTTGATGCGCCTTGCGATCGTTTCCGCCACCCATCCTTTGTATTCGTCTCGACGAGGTCATAATAGGCGTTCGTGTGCTTCTATTGATAGTGCTTATTTTTCTATTACGTCTTATCTGCAATATCTGCAAGCTAGTCATCCCCCCCATTAGCATTTGGAGGTTTCTGAGCTAGATTTCCACTATCCCCTTTAATGCTCCTAGAGCTACCCAAGCAAGCCTGGTGCTATCTACATACATTACACTACATAAAACCACACCTTTTTCGACTCCACACATCCACATCTCTACACATCCATACATCCACACATACATTAGGAGGTATTCACCATACAAAATCGGGTGCTCCCGACAGTTTCTTCAAGGTTCCACCGGCAACACAAATACTCGAGGAATCTTGGTGACTTATAGCATTTCTGAATTACCCAACAACGAGCCGGAGACCAGATCGACAAACTCAATTCATCGGCTATATTTCTAGCGGCGCCAACCTTGGTGTGCCCTGAGGACCATTTCACATTATTTCCTGATATCTGCACGGAAATTTTTGGTGTCGAACCCCGGTCCAAAGGCAGTCTCCCAGAAATTGCAGCAACCCGGGAAATATAATAATCTAAAGGCCTTCCCCCCCTGTCTTGGTTTATAACCCCGACAGCATCAGCTCAATTGTTCCCTACATTTCAACCTCATTTAGGAACGTTGTATTTCACACCGATTATCCCGCATTCCTTTCCTAGAAACTCGAATACTTGTGTTGTCGTCTGTAAAAGGGGACGACGTTGCAATTGTGATCGTCAGATCGACAGGACGCCAGTACACTTACACGGAAGCTGGTCCGTTGTTCACACTCCGAGACGAAAATCCACCAAGTCCACTTACATCCGGCACTATCCCACCGCCGATCGATTGGTAACTCGACAGCTCGACTCGTGTCCCATTCCTGCCAACTTGGACACACCTTCAATTCAATGCAGCTCGCCGTTAGACACATAATACGGATTGAACATGTTCTATCGCGACATCAACATGCATTACACAGATGAGCTGATGGAATCGGGACCCAATTCGGTTCTGTATCACAATATCGACTTCGCTATGCATAAGTACCTCTTATTGCAGAACCAACACGAAGAGCTTCGGCAACATATGCACGATCTCTGTCCTTCATATACGACGTCTTCTACTGCAGTTACTTCGCCTTCAGTCTCACCCACTAGGTCATTCAGTGGTAGTCCGTCCCTCAAGCTCTCTCCTTCGCCCTCACGGAACCATCGAAGGTCATCGTTGTCCTCTGTTAGGAGCTCGGGATACCGAAGCTCGCAGACTCAGCTAGAACCGGTGCTAGACGAATCGTTGATCGATGAGATGGCAGCAGGAGAACAGAAGCTCTTCGACGTGAATGAGGGCCTCAAGAGGGCTCTGACGGAGCTGCTTAACTGCGAGACAGTGCGGAAGGACCAAGAAATGAGAACTTGGGTACAGACGCGATTGATGGACACGGAAAGAGAGCTGCGCAGCGGACGAAGACGGCGAAGCCACGGTAGTTCTGACTAGGTGGGCGAAGAAGGAAAAGGGGTCAAGGGATGGAGTGAAGTGTGGAAAAGTTGGTTAATTTTAAGACGGGAAGGAAAACAAAGGTATTAGACGGACCGTGTTGGATTGGGGGTTAAAGGAATATTTGATTTGGGCTTGGGAACTCGATACCTATTTGAATTCGGATGGCGTTCGGGAACCTGGCAGCCAGTTTTGTGCGGCATATCATATCATCAAAATTTATCTCAAGTTTTTCATCGGCGACTTCGCGATGAAATGCTTCTTGGCCGTTTGGTGAGAGATGGGCGTGCCAAAAAATTTTTTCCTTGGAAGGGAGCTATAAATGGGACGAATATTGTTTAATTAAAGTTTTCCGTAAAGGATGCAATTTTGAGATTCATGGATATATTTACATTAGGTACCCTACATAGGTACCTAAAACTACCTAGGTACATATCACTATGCCATTGCAATTGAAAAATAATTGAAATAGTTTACATATTCAAAGCGTGCTAATTAGTATAAGAGACAACTTGAGTTGTGATAGCTTCAATGTCTTTAATTGATGTTGTTGGAAAATTCAATGTATAGACGCGGGGTACATGTACCTAATGCTGGCCGTCTATGTTTGATTTTTCGTACGCAGCCACATAATCACACAGCCACAGGTATCCGGGTAACACTCAAAGTGCGTCACAGCTTAAGGTTTATTCTTTGCCTTCGCGTCTCATCAATTTATTCCCTTTTTTATACAACTACATCCGCCTAAATGCCTACCTCTTAATGACGATCCCTCCTCCTCCCACCTTCTAACGCGCTCCTAATTCACCAGAGTTTAGCCCATCTCATGTTATGTATTATTGCTATCGTCTCGTCTTAATTACAACGCCCTAGCAGAAAGGATAAAGAAAAGATGTCAGTCTTGCTCGAAACAAGCGCCGGCGACGTAGTGATAGACTTGTTAGTTGATTACGCGCCAAAAGAATGCGAGAATTTCATAAAACTCTGCAAGGTTAAGTACTACAACTTCTCGCCCGTACATTCTATCCAACAGAACTTTTCCTTCCAAACTGGCGACCCTCTTGGCCCGACCTCTTCCGCTTCTGATGGCGGTTCCTCTATATGGGGACTCATCTCCGGGGCCTCCAAGAAAACATTTAGCGCTACATTTCATCCAAAGTTGAGACATCTCGAGAGAGGCACTGTCTCTATGGCTACTGCTCCACATCCATCCGATCCCGATGCTCGTGTTGCCGGCAGCCAATTCATTGTCACGCTCGGCGACAACACAGATTATTTAGACGGAAAGGCGGCTATCTTTGGCAAGGTCGTCGAGGGGTTTGATGTACTGGAGAAAGTCAACAATGCCATTACTGACAAAGATGGCCATCCGCTCGTTGACATTCGCATAAAACACACAATCATTCTTGACGACCCCTATTCCGACCCATCCGGCCTACGAGAGCCCAGCCAATCACCTCCCCCGTCTCAGGCGCAGCTCGCTACGGTTCGAATCGCCGATGATGCGCCTTTAACCGAAGAGATAGACGAGGAGGCGGCAGAGAAGGTGCGGCGTGAGAGGGATGCCCGCGCCCAGGCTTTAACCCTCGAGATGATGGGCGATCTTCCATTTGCCGAAGTCAAGCCTCCCGAGAATGTACTTTTCGTGTGCAAGCTCAACCCCGTGACCACCGATTCCGACCTTGAGCTTATCTTCAGTCGCTTCGGCAAGATTTTATCGTGCGAGGTCATACGCGACAAGAAGACAGGAGACAGTTTACAGTATGCCTTTGTAGAATTCGAGGACAAGGGCGCATGCGAAGCGGCTTATTTTAAGATGCAAGGAGTGCTCATTGACGACCGAAGGATACACGTTGACTTCAGTCAGAGTGTGAGCAAGTTAGCCGAGGTCTGGAGGGGTGGGGAAAATGCGAAGCGGAAACGCAAGCGTGAAGGTGGCGGATGGGGCGGTGTTAAAGAGCTGGAGAAATGGAGGAAGTACAGGGAAGAGGACGGTCACGAAGGCACCGAAGATCATTACAGCATGGTTTACGGGGAGGAAGAAATGCGCGGCCGGCACAGGCGACAGAGAGACGGTCGTGATCAAGATGATAGGCGGGCCCGAGATCCCGATCGCTTCGGAGATAAAGATGAAAATAGAAACCGTAACGATGCAGATCAAGCTAGACGCCGGGACGGCGGATATGGACGCGACCAAGATGGGGCACCGCAGTCGCGAAGTAGAAGCCCAGTGAGAGACAAGCCTCGTGATAGGAATCGGTACGATGACCACCGAAGGGATGATCGCGCTATTAGGTACCGACATGACGACCGATGTGGAAAAGATCTAGAAAGAGATCGTCCTCGTCGTGACTATCGGCGGAGATAGTCTGAATCCACTAGGTTGCCTTTCATACGAAACGACTGTTATATCGAGTATGTGGACTTAGTTAACTAACTACCTATCTATCTGAATTAAGTTTACGAACCCGTGTTCTAAACGTACCTACTCAGCGTTATATCTCAATAGCATGAACCAAGCGCGTCTTTATAGTATGGAGACAACCCGATTTGGATAAAGAGAATGCTAATACATTTTAGAGCATACAGCCGTATACGAGCGTGTGGATCGCGCGTGTAGCTTGGTATAGGATATTCGTTCTATGTACGATTGATGTTTTCCCTACCCCTTACATTTCTTATGACGAATACAGAAACGAGCTGAGCCGTCTCTATGTATTTGGCTCACGTTTAGACTGACATGGCGCAAAGGGATGCGGATTCGGCCATGTGATGATGGCTAGGTATATTGCTAGTCTCCATAATTGTATTCTATTCTACAGGATGAAACGGCGGTCTTGGAAACTCAGACTCCAGCATAATCCTTCTTGTTCACATTCTTGGTCAATGCCGGCAAATAACTGCTTCTAAGGCAGTCCAGCTATGCTGGGAAAAGATTCTCAACTCGAAACAAAGCGATATCCCCAGTTACAGCAATGTGACATGCGAAATTCGGCTATCTTGCGTCGCGATACTGTATGGTTAATATGCGGAACATTGTATCAACCACGCGGAGGATTGGCAATCTACTCGAAGTGGTGACTACTGGCCAAAACCCAGGTTTAAAGCTTCGTTGCTATCTTGTTTAACGTATGACATATCCTACAATCCTCCTTCCTGGTTACACCGATGCCGCTGTCACCCGGCAGCCGTCTATCGGGCATCGAGGAAAGAAACTAGTGGCGGCTCCAAGGAAAATTACTACCGACGAGGTTTATTTAAATCATAAAAATGAGCCGCCACGGACTGGAAGAGAAGATAGGAAATGCTCATACGATCACGAATAGGCGGAGTCGGATACGTGTAGAGACGCGTTTGCTGCCATTATTAATACTACAGCAAACTAATATGGTATTGACTTGAAGCGTTAGCCTTCTCACCGACATACCAAGAGCATGACTATCGCTTCACTTCAACTAGCATGGGTCATCCATATCTATAAAGACCGGGGGAGGATTGTGAGTATGCACCTGAACCCCAGACAACCCCCCTTATGAGCTTCGATTACCCGCAGACTAGAAGCCTAATGGAACAATGGAAGGCGGCTCGACGATGCAAGTGGCTCGTGGCTTGCCGCTGGTCGCCACCATGCAGGTTTGAAAGTATCCAAGTATTTGCTTCTTAACTACCTGGTACTGATGCTAGTAAACCGTATGCATTGTGTAAATCTAGTATCGTTTTCTCATGCCATATCAAGATCAAAACTGTTGCAAGAAAAGGGCAGCTCAACCTGATAAACAGCGTGGCTATTTTATACCTTGTTTAGCTGCTCACCTCCCTAAACGTATATTTCAGAATTCCCCCTAAGGCCCTAGGTTCTTTGGTTGTGGCAAGAGTCTCTGGCCAGAATTAACGGAGCTCTACATACGCAGGTAAAGGAGACTTATGTCGGACGGCATGGGAGACGACATGGGATAGTCATGAGCTTGCAACAGGCCGTCTTTCCCGAAGTGGGGGTAAAGTCATCAACCTACTAGGATGCGAGGTTCGCGAGTTGATGTCCTGTTACTTGTTGTGCCACGAGGCGTTCCTGGAATTCTAATCCGAGCCGAAAGACCCCAGCACTGCCTACCCAGCGCTTGTATTCAGAACGCCTACAACCGATCGATGCTACTCTTTATCTAGCATACGTTATCGTCCGGAATTAGAAGACAGGTTTTCTCCTTATATAAGTACCTTTCGACGCTGGTTGCTTCCAAGACCGTTTTCTGCAAGGTCCCCAAGTTCGTGTGACAATATTTTCATGGCATTTTTAATATGTCTTGCTGACCCTAGCCCTAAGGGACGTTCGCTACTTCAAGTATCGAACATACCTACGTATCCACTCTCCTGTCTTAGCCTGATATCGGCTGTCACTTTTGTAGGGGATCGTTGTTGTAGCTAGAAGACCCATCATAAATGTCCTGCCGGGAGTTGACGTACTTTCCCGTCCTCGTCAATTTGAGACTCCATTAAGTTGGATCGGAACTCCGACTCTACTCTACGAAGCAAATGATGGGCTTTGAAAAGAGCTCCGAGAGTCACACAAAGAGAAATATAGACCATACCCACAGCAACTTGTGGTGATGGTCGATTAATCTCACTATAAATTCAGAGCTGATATATTGCCAAGTTAACTCTTCGATTAGCAATATTTATTATCTGCTTTGACGTACTAGCGTGACAATGGTTCTGTCACCTATCCTTCACAATGGCTAAGGTATGGAGGATAACTTCCGAGGAAGATCGAGTATGTAGTCGCCAATGCTCATTTCTGGGCCCAACTTGTGAGTACACTAATGGTATAAGGGGCTAGAATAGGGCCAAAACTTCAAGAGATCATCTGCATAGGTAATTTACAAATAGGCTTTTCGCCACAGTACTGATTTTGGACCCCGACCCCTAAGTTTCGCCCAAGGATTAAAGCTACCTACTCCAAGGCCTACTGTCGACTGGCATCATGGCAATTTGAACCCCCAAAATGTCTCGCATACTGACGGACACGTTTCAGCCAATGGTATAGCGGTCGGTAGCACGAATAACGGCTACCTGCAGCTTCTTATAGATGACTGACAGCGGGGACATGCACGCAACCGTGTAGCTGGAAGGAAAAATTTCCGCTGCTAAGTTCTGGCACCTATTATCTCCCAACTATGGGGGCCATGTGCCAGTGACATGTGTACTCTTGCCCGCGTTTCCACTGTGTTCGGAAGCTTGATGAGAGACAGTAGCACTTTAGCTTAACTTATTCCGCACCCAGTGTATGATACAAGCTGGCTGGAACCACCATAGGGATGAAAGTTTTTATTGTCATATATAGAATGTGCCGACAAGACCCAAGTTCACTCGATACGGATTGCCCTCGTTGAGAGATGTTCCGGTTCCATGCTTTCCATGCTTTCCATGCTCTCCGTCCTTAAACTAGGGATCCCAACTTGCCACAAGGAGGCGATGATCCCCCAAACATATCCCGATTAAGTACTCGTAGATACTTATTTAGGAAACAACCTCTCCTCAGCCCTATTATATACTCGAAGAGAAAACTTAACTCGCTGGCGGTATACTAGAATAATCAATAGCTTATTTTAGGCGCCTGTTAGGAATGGCTTATCGCAAATCAACGAAATGGCATTTTCTAGTATAGTCTTAACTGTAGATCGAGACATCCAGAGGAGGACCTCAATTCTGGTCAAACAAGGATTAGCATCGCGTATCTATAATCTACATGGCGCATCCCGCAGGTGTAGGTACGGGGTGCTGCTCACTTATCATGCAGCTGGACTATACATACATCTAACAATCTGTGCGAGACATCATTTTTCTCTGCATGCGGGTGGTTTGCCCACCAAGCGGGCGACAGATGACTGGATGGGGCCGTCAAATCGGATCTCTGGCCAGCCTCATAGGCTTATTGATCTAGTATAGACCCTGCTAATCTAAACGATTCATACAAGAAAAAAATGATAGGTCACCGACAGAGCCGTTGGAATCGACTGAGGCACTTATCGTCACTTGCTGCAGGAGTAATCTCTTGCAGACTATTTCCTCATCCCCGGTGCTCATAATATTGAACTTCCCTGCTACCTTCGGATGTCTCAAGTTTACTGTTCGCAGAGAAACGGTACGGGGACTAGGTACCTACATTTAGGTCAATGCTAATACAAGTAGAGCAGCGCACTCTGACAATTCGGGGGTACAGGATAGGCGGTGCTAGAACCGAGAATACTCAAAGGTACTACCAGGGGGAAAGATACTCGTGTGACAGTGTCCGGATCTACAACGTTTAGAGGGAGTCTCGTTTGTGCTGTGCTAGGGTTAGAAAGTGTGGGAGAGCCTTCCATGTACTCTGCAACTCATCTTCGGTGGTGACTATGGGCAAACACGAAATATAGTCAGTCGATTACTCTGAATCTCTATCCGAGTTTCCTGCTCCCCTTCTACTTTGATAGCTCCTATCTTGCCCTGGGGGCGAGCAGATACATCTAATCTCTGAAGAATCTGTTATGGGAATAGTCTTTGCGCCTCGTTAGACCGGATGGAGCGGCTGTGGCTTCATGTAGGCTTGGCTAGACCGGCGTGGAAGAAACAAAACCTTTCTGTCATTTTTCGTTTGAGACCCTCGCCATCTACCCCGCTAAACATTCTAAAGTAGGAGAAGACTGCAGTACTGTGAATCGAAAATGGTAAAGGGCAGACCAGCCAAAGACCTCATTCTCATTTTCGCTCTCCTTGGGTACTTTCCCCCCTTTCCACCGTGCCGTCACACAGGGTGCCAATACACGTATGCAATAGGTGACGAATAACTGCGTCACGTAGGTAGGCGCTTATTCTTAAGTGTCTCGACATTGGGCAGCACTGAAAACTCACCCTTAGTCTTCATGGCGAGCAGAGTCATTCCCATTGTCTTACCCGACGTTTGCGTCCTCAGTAGGACGAGAGCCGTTGGTCGAAAGTAACCACCATGGTGTTTGCTCTGGCGATCCTCCGCAATACCCTATGGTCAACTACCTACTCGTTACCTGATCCGTCGCCCCCTCCACTTCACGCAGGAGACAGGTTACTTGGGGATGGGAATAGCTTTATCGAAATTATACATATTATTCTCTGTTGATAGATCGTGTATCAAAGCTTTCGATATCTTATTTTATAGATCAAGCTGCTTATAATTGACCTATCATGGCGTCTTGTGATGGAGACTGAAGCCGAGACGTAGACGGTAGACTATTAGGAGCACACTAACACTATCTCTTTTCATGGAGCACCTGTACATAAACCTCGGCGTTGTAGCTAAGAATATAGAAAGCAGCTTGGGGTAGCCTAGTCTGGTACGAATAAAATATGCCGGTCTCAGTATATGAGGCCCACCTGGTTCGCTACATCATCTATATAGATTGCATCGAGATTGGTCACTCACCAAGCCCCAATTCCAGATGGCCTTACCCCCTGGGAGGATCGGCCTGCCATTCTACCTAACCTCCCCACCGGCCTTATAGGGGTACCAGCTGTTTGTCTAGGTCTTCCTCCCCTCTTCAGGGTGAAACGAAGCACGTTGGACTAGGTTGGAAATACAATTCGACTTAGAGTACACATGGCTAACCTAGAGTTTTGCTCATCATGCAGTAGTCATGCATCTAACCGTCCCTCTACTTGTACCCTTGAGCTCGTGTAACAAAGCTAGACTAATCGACCTCATAGTTGTGGATAGACATCTCGATGTGACACCTGCTGTGTTATGAACCAAGGGCAGAATGACAAG